GTGCTCAGGGACTCTGGTTCTGCACCAAGAGGAATTTTCTTGAATATCTGTTTTGTGGCCTCACCTCCCGAGTGGTAGGATAACTTGTGTATATTATTATACCCTATTTAATAGGGTTCACCAACCTAATTAATAGATAGGTAAGCGCTCCATCAAGTGAGGGCCTTCCACATCTTTTTTGGAGTGAGCTAGGGACATTGGTGTTGCTTTGTAAAATCTCCATAGTGACACACTATCTGAAAAAAACAACAACAAAAAACCAAGAACACACAAACAGAAAGAGAGACATAGAGAGAGAGACACAGAGAGAGAGAGAGAGACAGAGACAGAGACAGAGAAAGAGAGAAATACATTTGAAACCTAAATCTTTAAAGATGATACAGAATGGGTAAGTTTTCATGCAGATTAGCAAATTAGACCCTGTTCCCTATGACTATATATCCACATGTGCTTTTTAAAAAACTTTATTATTTATTTTATGTGTTTTTCACATCATGTATCTTGATCTCATTTATATATTCCTTTGTCGATACATCTCTACTTGCAAGTGTTCATTGCAACGAGTCATTGGTCTGGTTTGAGGGCCCTGGTCTTCACTACAGGTTTGATGCTGGGCCTCCACAAGGACTCTCCCTGGACATCTCACTGACACCTTGTGTTATGGAGATCCTGCAGCTTTGGTCTGTGGGTCAGGTCCATTCTCGTGCTCTAGCAGATCGTAGATGGAGTGGATGCTGGGGCAGGCAAATCATAACCCTGGGTTTGGGCCTGGGCAGCTGTAGGGTTGGTCTGCCAGGTGGGAGCTGGGGACAGCTCTCCTGTGGTCACAGTATCAGGGCTGGCTATCTACAACTGCACTAACAGTGTCGGCTCTATTGTGCTGCCCTGGCAAGGTGCAGGGCCTGCTCTCCCGAGTGTTGAAGCTGGAGATCAAGGATGGCTCTCCCACACTAATGACCACAGGGCCTGTTCTCCCAGGTATCTCAGGCTTTGGTGCGTGTGGGGAGGAGGTGAAACGACCTCTGCTCATGCCACCACAAGGCAGATGGGTAAGGAGGACAGCTGTTTCATGCTCACAGATTTGGGGATGGCTGACCTGTACCTCCTCTTACAGGGTTGGCTCTGTTCCGCAAGTGCTTTTTACAATGCTGTCCTTTCACAGTGCAGGAGCTCAAACCCCAGAGCCCAGAGCACACTAGGCTACTGCTCAACCACTGAGCTCAACCCACACCCCTGTAAACTCCGCATCTTCTCTTCACCATGTGGTGCTGGGGATTGATGTCAGAGCCACACATGAGTTAGGCAAGTCCCTGCTACTGAGCAACATCTCCATTTTAATCAGCTAGTTCATTCCCCCCCCCCCCCCGCTTTCTTTGTGAAATGGGGGGGGGGTCTCTATTTAAAGACTATTTTTTAAAGTTAGGTGTATATGTATGTTTATTGTATGGATTTGTACATGTAAAAGTAGGGCCCTAGGCAGGCCAGAAGTAATCCAGTAATCCTGTCACCTGAAGCCACCTTTTGAGAGCCACTTGAGAGCCACCCGAACCAAACTTGGATCTTCTAAAAAAGGTAATGTGCTCTTTTTTTTTTTTTTTTGGACAGGGTTTCTCTGTGTAGCTTTGAGCCTTTCCGGGAACTCACTCTGTAGACCAGGATGGCCTCGAACTCACAGAGATCTGCCTGAATCTGCCACCCGAGTCCTGGGATTAAAGGCGTGCACCCCCATGGCCCTGCAAGACAGGGTTTCTCTGTGCAGCTTTGCGCCTTTCCTGGAACTTGTTTTATAGTCCAGGCTGGCCTGGAACTCACAGAGATCTGACTGAATCTGACTCCCGAGTGCTGGGATTAAAGGCATGTGCCACCACCGCTGTGCCCAGAAAGCGTTTGTTGAGGAGTCCTTAAATTTAGATAATTTATGGAATTCAGAGAACAGCAGTACATTTAAGCAAAGAATCCTTGTTCTATATGGTCAATACATATTCCAATAAAGAATAAAACAGAACAATAATAAATTATTCTATTGATATCTTACTATAGAGAAAAGGGGGGATATAATGGATAGACCTAGGAAGATTTAAAATACAATAAAATACAGCTCTTTTTTAAAGTAAATGTTTGGCCGGGCGGTGGTGGTGCATGCCTTGCCTTTAATCCAGGCACTTGGGAGGTAGAGGCAGGAGGATCTCTGTGAGTTCAAGGCCAGCCTGGTCTCCAAAGTGAGTTCCAGGAAAGGCACCAAAGCTACACAGAGAAACCCTGTCTCAAAAAACCAAAAAACAATACAAAACAAAACAAAAAACCAACAACTAAATGTTTTATACCTGTAGAGAGACATATATTTATTAGACACCTTTATATACACTAAAGCTATTTCAAAGAGTTCAGGAGTCCATAGGATTAAACATGTGGCATGCAGGCTGGACTAGGGGGGCTCATGGTAATCTCAGTAGAGTAAGGGAAAAAAAAAATCAAGAGTTCAAGGACAGCCTGGCTCACAGGAAACTATCAAATAAAGAGAAAGTAAAATTGCAAAGTGCAGAATCAACCTCATAAACCCTGTGCACTTTGCCCTGAGCTCCCCTTTCCTTCAGCCGTCTCTGATGGGTCCATGGTGACGATGCCTGCGTGGACTGGATGTTAATAACCCTCCTAGTCCCTTGAATCATCCTTCGGGAGGAAGTGTCTATACTGCTCACTTCAGTGACACACAAAAGGGATGCGACTAATTCACAGGCAAAGGACAAGAATGAAAGAAGTGTCACAAAAGCTTTCACTTCATTGTTGCCGATGTGACCTGGACCTCTCCTTCAGTCATTAGATACCAGTGTTTTCCATTCCGGAGTCATCAGATCCTCCCGACCCTGAATCTGGCAGTGAGGTTAATAACTGACAAAGACCCCAGAGGGAGAGCATCCAGGTTTACAGGGGCAGGACAAAGTCACTGTCACGACCCTGACAGAAGCCACATAGAAACACAAAACCGCCATTCTGATTCCACAAGACTCTACCTGTCCCCGCGGTCCCACTGCTCGCCCTGTCCTCAGCCTGCAACATCCACCTCACTGCTCATCATTTTGTTTCCAGCCATCTCAGCAGCATCTGAAATCAGGAACTCTGAGTCCCCAGATGAGAGATGTGTCCCAAGCCCTCCATATCTATGAATCTAGAAGTCATGACCTCTATTTACAGATGCAAATGCAGATCTCTCCGGTTTCTTTGTTTTTTTCACATTGGGCATGGGAATCCAGGACTACACATGTGCACAGCAAACAATATACCAAGCAATACACAGCCTTTTTCTTTCCTTTCCTTCATCTCTCTCCTCTGTCTGTCTCTGTGCCTCTTACTGGGACCTAACCCCAGGGCTCCATGAATGCTTTGCCCACCCTCTGCCACTGAACTCCATCTTCTTCCATTTTCCAGAACAAGTTCTTAGCCTGTGTAGGTAGGATGACCTTGACTGTCTGTTCCTGTTTCTACCTCCAGAATGGAAGGATTACCAGTGAGTACCATGTGCCCCGTTCAGTGGGCTTCAGATTCAATTAAGAGTTTCATGTATAGTAGGAAAGCATTGTCAAATGAGGTACTTCTAAAGGAACTAGGGACCCAGGAATTGCTATGTTAGGGTTATAGTGGCATGTTCTCTGGGGCGTGTGTGTGGGGGGGATACACATGAAACCTAAAACTTCAATGATGACAGTTAAATAAAATTTTTTTTTGTTTGTTTGTTTTTCGAGATCGAACTAACAGAGATCTGCATGCCTCTGCCTTGGGAGTGCTAGGATTAAAGGCGTGCTCCACCACCGCCCTGCTTGTTTCTGTTTTATCTTATTTTATTATTGACTATTGCCTGGCGGTGGTGGAGCACACCTTTAATCCCAGTACTCCCAAGGCGGAGGCAAACAGATCTCTGTGAATTTGAGGCGAGCCTGTTCTCCAAAGCGAGTTTCAGGAAAGGCGCAAAGCTACAGAGAAAACCCTGTCTGCAAAAAACAAACAAACAAACAAAAAATTATGTGAAATACCTACCTGGTCACTTCTGATTCAATATCTACTTTATATGTCAAAGCCCCTCATAAATTTTAATTCTTTTGTGGTGCTGGAGATCAAACAAAGGAGCCAAATGCAAGATGTGCATGCACCCAACAATGGCTGAACTCCACACCTCAAACTCCATGTACTCTTTACACCCTGTAAAGCTGAAGATGGAGCCCAGGGCCTCATAGGCACTGGGCAAGCACCCTGCCACTGAGTATATCTCCATTTTAACTAAGTTAAATAAGTTAGTTTTAATTTTTTTTAACTTGTAAATTTTTTTTTTAATTTAGGTATATGCACATGCACACATGCATTGTGTGGAGTAATGCACATGAATGCAGGTATCCACACAGATTCCTTCACCAGGAGCTGGAGCTCCAGGCAGTCGAGGGCCACCAGATGTGGGTCCAGGAAACTGAAACTGAGCCCTCTGAAAGAGCCCCATGCCTGTGCTCTGGAGCCATCTCTCTGGCTCCAGGGTCTTTGGATAGAGAGTCTCACTCTGTATCCCAGGCTGGCCTGGATATTTAGTCCACCCTAGAGGAAGACAGTATCTACCTGCCCCAATATGGAATGTTGTCATTATAGATATCTGTTCACTTTTATATTTATGTCCAGAGTTCTTACAATTGGTTGGTGTATGGGAGCCAGAAAACAATAATGGCATTTAAGCAAAGACATCCATCATTCTGTGTTTAGTAAAGATATCAATTAAGAACTGATAGTGAATTATTTTATTGCTGCCTTATTATGCTGAAAAAGGAGAATGTAATGGGTAGGCCTAGGGACTTTCAAAAAACACAATTAATAGAGATCACAATAGAAGACTTCAAAAACAGTTCCAGGAGATGCTTGAAGCCAGTTGAGAGTCTTTCCAGACCCTGACGCTAGCAGGGAGGCTAATGACTGAGGAAGACCCCAGAGGAAGAGCACTCACATGCAGAAGTCATGTTTCCTGTTTACTGCCAGCAAGAACAAAGCTCCAGGTGAAAGACACAGCATTCCTCATTTTCAGAGCACTCCTCAGAGTCACAGTTCTTATCACATACATGGCAGGCATTTGTACAGAAGAAGATGCGACAGGGATTCCTTACGGCTACGAGTATATCCATGAGCTCCTGACAAAGTTGGGCATATCTGTTTTCATCGATGATCCCGGAAGCATTATAGCATTGCAGAGAGGCAGGGTAGTGCTCCTCACTCATCTTGGTCAAGTTGGCTGTGTGATGCAAAAGGTCCTTCAGGACAGGGGTGGAGAAGTCATTGTATGAAAAGTTAACCTTGGTGAGCTGGGAGCACTTGCTGAGGACAGGGATGAGGTCAGTGAGCTGAGAGTCATCCATATTACAACGCTGAAAGTCCAGAGACTTCAGAGTACCTGCTACATTCTCTAGCAGGATTCCAAGAGGCTGGAGACATGAAGTCAAAAACTCGGTTCCTCTAAAGTCCAGATGTTTTAGCTGACGAAGGCTGCGGCTCAAGGGGAAATATTTCAAGTCGGACATTGACATCTCGCAGTTATTGATGGAAAGAGTCTCCAAGCGGGTTTTCAGGGACCTAGAGATACACAAAGCAGTTAGTTCAGGGAAAAGTATACTGGGGTTTATAAAGAGGAAGACGGGGCACATGTCTCAAGGTCAGTTTGACTATATGAACAATCAGAGTACCAGGGTGCTGCCTCTTGGAGTCTATTAAATCAAGTCACACCCACAACTCTCACCATAATTGTTCCCAGTCACTGGCAGGCCCCATGCACATGCGAATCCTTAGAGTGAACTGGAAAGGTTTGCTCTGGTAGCTGAGCCACCTCCGCATCCTTGCTTACCTGAGTATATGTTTCATGTGGTCTTTGAGAAAGTAGATGTCATCAATGGAGAGATGCTGCAGACAGTGGAGTTTGGAGAACTGAGCAAAGGCCTTGCTGATACGCTCAGTGTCTACTATCCTGTAGGCAAGCCTGAAAGTGCTCTGGTCCTCGTTTTTCAGGGAGAGTTTTCGAAGACTTCTCATCTCTCCAAGGCAGGGAGCAAAACGTGCCAGTTTGGACACATTCCAGGCCAGGTTCAATTCCAGCTCCTCAATGCGTCCTGGGTGGAAAACATTCAAGATCTCTTTGACAGTGCACACAGGCGCAGTCCAGATCTTCATGTTTATACAGTGCAGCTGTAGAAAGTCTTTTCTCTGCTGGACCCACTGCAAGAAGCATGCTTGCTCTTCATTCAGACGGAGCCTGAGGCAGAGGTCAGTTACCACCTTCAGATGCCGCCGCCTCAGTGCATATCTGGGAAGGTCCTTCACTACAGGCCTCTCATCCACAGTCTCTGCCAAACAGGCCCCATCCTCTCTTCCAGTCCATATGTTCCAGAACTCATGTTGAACATTCCTCAGGTCGAGCACCTGAAGTTGCTCGCTCCTGTGGGTAAAACGTGTAAAGTATCAGCAGACATGACAGGCCCCAACACCCAGCAAGTTTCCACTACACCAGCAAGTTTCCACTACACATCCCTAATGTCAGCTCTACCCTCCTGCCAAGGTCTCTTCAGCACCAAGTGTCCAACGTAGGAACTCATGTGTGTCATGGCCTCTCCCCGTGAGCTGCATGTGTACAGCTGACTACTTTCCTTCCACTAAGTTACTCTCCATTTCTACCTAGTCCCATGTTAGTGGTTGTTGGAAAGCCAGGGATAGGCTCCTTCCTCTCTGCCTACCTCTACTCTGTCCTCTAATCCATACTCAACTGTCCTTACTACAGGAAACAATAGGTTTCAAGGCCCCTGCATTCCAGCACCATGACCCCATCAGAAGCCTCTGACCCACCTACAAAGCCATTCTCCCTGACCCACGGTCTCTCCCACATGCCCCTTGTGCTCAGTCTACAGTACTTGGCTGTTGCTTACCCGGGGTGAAACTCTCTTTTCAGATGCATGTCTACTCCATCTAGCACAGCCTGGAAGGTTTTCAAGTTGGGAGTCTTCATCAACGACCCCACAGGGAGGCAGGGGAAAGGCCAGGCTGCCACCATTGCCTTCACAATCCTAGAGTGTCTGCCATTGAAGGCATCCTTGAACAGTGCTGGGAAGAGCGTCCAGGGCAGTTTCTCCAGAGCAGAGATGGCCAAGGCTTCATCTCTCAGCAGCGCCTGCCTTGCCAGCTTCTCCAGTGTGGGTGGGGTTTGACCATTCATCATGAATTGTCTTCAGTCAGAAGGCTCCTGGGGAAGCATTCAGGTGAGAATATATCTTCAAGATTAAGTTTAAAAATCTTCCCCCTCCCCTAGTACAGCAACCACTCAAGATCTGAGTCAATTGCTCTGGCAATGGTAGAGACATCAACTTAAATCATTGTCCTCACTGGTAGTGTAAATCTAGACTCTCACTGGCATTATGGGAGCCTCTCTATGTTCCTAATGGACACATGATTTAGCATCAAAGTATCTTATGAGTGACACTTTCTCAAAAAAAAAAAAAAAGCTTTATGTTGTGGTTCAATGTTTAGCTTAGTTTCTAGCCAGGTGGTGGTGGAACTCGCCTTTAATCCCAGCACTCGGGAGGCAGAGGCAGGTGGATCTGTGAGTTCAAGCCCAGTCTGATCTACAAAATGAGTTCCGGGACAGCCTCCAAGGCTATACAGAGAAAGCCTGTCTCAAAAAAACCAAAATGTACAGTTTTTACCAAGGAAGATGATATGATGGCAATGGCTTCGTGCAGTTTTTTCAGCCACCCTGGTGCAGAAAACTTCAACATACCACCCCCCCCCCCAAAAAAAAGCAAACTTTTTTGAAAAAGATGCAGACTAAAGCCTGAGTCAAGATAGAACTCACAAGCAATTCCAGCTACTGTGAGTCTGAAGCAGAGGAACTGCCAAAGAGGCTAAGATAAGTGGTCTACAGTTCCACAAGAGCCCTTGTTCCACAAAAACAAATAAAAGCAGTAGTGTGAATATACCACAGTACAAGGGAATATGCTAATAACCTCAGCACCCATAGTCAGGAGGATCTTGATTTCCAGCCTCCCCAGAACTCCAGGGCCAGTTCTAGGACAGCTTGAACAACATAGAAACCCTTGTCTCAAAACAACAACCATAATGAAATCACAAACTATTATACAAAGACATTTGAGATGCAGGTGGAACTTCATTTAGACCTTTACTCATTGTCTTCAATGTGTTCATCTGAAGAGACAGAAATGAAAATTCCTGATCCATCTTGGTCTAAAGGTCCCTTTATCAAACCACATGACCCAAGGGAGGACAACTACTCACCAGTTCTGAGCACCGACCACAGTCTCTTTATCCCAGCTGAGCCAGGTGCTTCCTCCAGGCTCCAGGTCTCTCAGTATCTTCATGGCTCTCCTGAAGCCTTTATATACCTTCCTGCTCACCCTCCCTATTGTAGTCCCACCTTCCAACCCCAAGCTGCAATTTGATTGGACGGCTCAGTCTGCAACTTTTAATTCTATAGACACCATTCAGTCATTTCATTGATTGAATAAGAATTTCTTGTGAAAACACCCAGACTGCCCCTCAAATGTCTTGGGTCAATATAAACATTCCACTTGTTAATTAACTACACAAACCTGAGTTTGTTGATTTGTTCTTTTATTTGCTTGTTTATTACTTAGTTTTGAATCTGTTACAGAGACTGGGTCTTGTTCACAAGCTAAGGCTGTTTTGGAACTCTAACTTCTAGCAATCCTCCTGCCTCTGTTGAGGGGCCCCAAAACAGCTTGACCACACAGCTGCCATGACAGGGTTAGAGGCCCAGACATGGCTTCTGTGACAGGCTTACTGGCAGGCAACACCCAGGTCTAGGAAAAGCTATAAGCTAACACCACCCAGGGATCCACCCAGGGATGGGGAAGTACCTAACAACCCAAACATTCCAAATATTAGATAAGGCAGCCAGATGTTGCAGAGTCTAGAACACTACTATTCTTGTTTTACTGATAGCCCCAGACAATTGTCAGTCAATCAGGGTCCTGAACCCTGGAAATCTCTTCACCCCAACCTCTGCTATGATTAAAAACCCTAGCCGGGGCTCAGGGCAATCTACTGTCACTGCTGCATGGGACAGATAGACCAAGCTCTGGAGCTTGAAAATAAAGGCTCTTTGCTTTTCCATGTGGGATTTGGTCTCTGTGGTGGACTTTTGGGGGTCCCTGAGATTTGGGCATTACAGCCTCAGCATCCTTCTTGCTTGGGTAATGTTATAAATCACCATGTGTTGCTGAATTTAATTCATCTGACCAAAGACTGTCTGAGTTTGAGTCAGTTTGGGATTTAATCTGTTGCTGATAATAGACATAAAAATAATTTTAAAAGATTTTTGTCACTGTGTTGTAGGAAAAGCACCTAGTCAGTCCGGAATATGTTCTGGAGCTCAAGGCCTGAACTTGAGAGGGTGAGGCCGGAGGATGGCTTGATTCCCTTACTATGGAGGTTGGGGTGTTGGGGATGCACTCAGTTTGTAGAGAACTAACTACCCAGCATCCACTGCGTCCTCTTCCCAGCACTCACTGCAGTAGACGAGCCGGGGCTTGCCTGTAAGCTCAGATTTGAAGAGTGGGAGGCAGTCGGTCAGTTAACTTCAGCCTAGGTGTCAGCTCAAGGACAGCCTGAGCCACGTAAGACCTGCTTTTCACCCACTGAACAGAGCAGGACAGAAGAGGTGGCTTGGAGGAGAGCCACCCTTGGTTCCCCAGGAAACAGCCAGTGCTTCAGGAACGTCAGGGCAGCACACTTGCTCAAGATCATGAAATGAAGAGTGGGACCTGGGGGCTGAGAATGGCAAGCTCTAAAGATCACCCATTAGTCTTCCAGTCTAGCCGGGCGGTGGTGGCGCACAACTTTAATCCCAGCACTCGGGAGACAGAGCCAGGCAGATTTCTGTGAGTTCGAGGCCAGCCTGGGCTACCAAGTGAGTTCCAGGACAGGCCCCAAAGCTACACAGAGAAACGCTGTCTCAAAAAAAACAAAACAAAACAAAAAAATCTTCCACTCCAGCATTGTTGTGGCTGCATCACCAGACCCCTGGACAAAACCACCACAGAGCTGATATTCGATGCAAAACACATAGGGGGTTTATTGATAACAATCAAGTTTGGGCTTGGTCTGTGTTTGATATCTGATAAAACGGGTGGTGGAGGATGGCCCTGAGCTCTCAAGGTGAGCAGCTTTTAAAGAAAACATAAACAAGGGTGGTATAAGCCTTGGTGTCCTATGATTGAGTGAGGGTGTGTAAGCTTTGAATTTAGTGCTTGGGGGTTACAGTTTTCATTTTGGGGGGAGGCCTGGACAAGTCCCAGGCTGTGTCCTTGAGTTGCCATGGGGGCTGGCTGGCCTCCCATGTTCACATTGACCCATGCACATATCTCTCAGCTGGTGAGGGATCCCAGAGAGTAATCAACTGGCTGAACCTTCAGAGGTCAGAGCATGTGCAGAAAGGGAGCTACTGCTAGGACTATGTCTTTTTTGTTTGTTTGTTTTTTGAGACAGGGTTCTCTGTGTAGCTTTGCCCCTTTCCTGGAACTCCCTTTAGAGACCAGGCTGTCCTTGAACTCACAGAGATCTGCCTGCCTCTGCCTCCCGAGTGCTGGGATTAAAGGTGTGTGCCAGCACCGCTCAGACCCATTTTATTCTCACAATATTTGTTGTGTACATGAGGAAATTAATGAGCAGAGACATGGACTATGTCTTTTGTTTATGGAACCCCCAGAAACTGCTTGCTCAAGTCTCAGGAAACTGAAATTGAGGCCTGATCTCTGAGAGAGGACAGAGTAGCCTGTTATGGTGTCTGCTTGGTCCTTTCAAGAACTACATGGTGTCCGGAAATGATGTGTAACTCCAGTCCCGGGAGATCTGAAGCCCCGCTTTGGCTTTCTTGGGCAGCAGGCATACATGAGGTGTACATTCATACATGCAGGCAAAACATTCCTACACCTAGAATGAATCTTAAAAAAAAGTTTGGATCAGTACCAGGAATGGAGGCACACGCCTTCAATCCTCACACTGGGAGACAGAGGTAGGTGGGACTCAGTGAGTTCAGTACCAACCTGTTCTAAGTAGGAACCAGTCAGGCATACAGAGTGAGCATCTGTCTTAAAAATTGTTTAAAGCTGGGTGGTGGTGGCTCATGCCTTTAATCCCAACACAAGAGAGGCAGAGGCAGGTAGATCTCTTTGAGTTCACGGTCAGCCTGGTCTACAAAGTGAGTTTTGAGCCATCAAGGTATTACAGGGAGAAACCCCCAAAACAAACCGAATAAAGTAAAATAAAACAAAAACAAACTGGGATAGGAAAAAATAATAAACGGAGGAAAAAAGAGCTAAACACAGAGTATGAGGAAGACATATGGATGCAGGACATGTTCAAACACAGAGGAATCCGATGGAAACACAAAGTTGTTAGCCATAAAATATAAGCAAAGGACCTGTAGTGTGTGTGTGTGTGTGTGTGTGTGTGTGTGTGTGTGTGTGTGTGTGTAAATGACCTAAGAAAACATTATGAGACAAAGAACCATCAAAGATGCCAGGAGTTTCTTTTGTGTTGGCTGTCTACTACTGATCATTGAATCTGTCCTTAAGAGTTCTTTGTATCTCCAGGGAGACTGCATTTGAGAGAACTATTTTTCATTTGCAAGTCCTTATCAACTGGAGACAGAGTCTGGGTTAGGGAGGGGAACTTGTGTCCACTTCTCTTAACACCAGCACCCCATGTGGTGCAGACGCATGCAGGCCCTGTTCATGCTGCCACAGTCTCTCTGAGTTCATAAGTGCAGCAATTCTGCTGTGTTTAAGAAGGGTTCCTGGGTTGGAGAGATGGCTCAGAGTTTAAGAGCACTGGTTGCTCTTTCAGAGGTCCTGAGTTCAATCCCAGCAACTACATTGTGGCTCAAAACCATGTATAATGAGATCTGGTGCCCTCTTCTGGCCTGAAGGAATATATGCAGGTAGAACACGGTATACATAATAAACACATACATTTAAAAAGAAGGGAGAAGAAGAAGAAGGAGGAGGAGGAGGAGGAG